AAGGAACGCCGTCGAAATCGAGAGTGGTTCTCGCCAGGTAGGTGTAGATTACTCTTTTATATAAGATAGTTCGTAAGTGGTGCTGCGCGGGTCGACGATGATCGCAGCAAGTCCTAATCCAACTCCATCGGACATTGGGGCATCTCGGAGATAGCAGATTTCTCTCTCGAACGTCTTCTTTATATCCCGGACCTGCATGTTTCTTGGAAAATAATCCCGTGTTTTCACCTTAGGCGTTCAATAACATGGCCTAGGTTTGGCTTCCATCTGAGCAGGAATACTTACTTACCATAAAACATGCCAGAATTTTTGTTTCAATGCGATCATTCTTCGTAGCCACCCTGGGAACGATGAAATACAAACAAAATGAATCGTAATTTTCGTTTGTAACCCGCTTTTGAGTATCATGTTGCAACGCAGCATTATTGCTGAGAGTATTCGATTGAAGATTCCCTTCCCCACGGTGCCATTCCGATTTCCTTCAGATTTCCCTTTACTTCTTCGCCTCCCAGCATATAAACACTCGATATTTGACAAGACAACAAGATTCTTTCAGGTTGAAGATCTGGACGGCTTCTTGTGTGTCGATGAGCAGATGCCGTCTTGTTCATCGGGAATAGATCCGCAGTCCTGTTCTAGAATTCGGCCAGTAGACGTGCGCTACTGTGTGAGACGAAGACAGCGTTATGCTTATCAATTCCGGTCAGTTTTTGCTACTGCCACTTTCTTTCCTGTGCGCCTCATCGTGTTCGTTTCAGATCTGAGAACGATTCGCAGAAATATCCGGCTTTTGCTACATGCAATCCTGTCAGTCTGAACTTGGATCAAGGTACCTATGATAAACCTATACTCCTTTCTATAATTCTTTCCCACAAGGCACTTGAGCTCTTTGGTTTTTGTGTGTTTATTGGAAGTTGTTTCAGTAAGCTGTCATCCATGCCGTTATATAGAGGCATATGCAAGGATTATATCAATGGCACCACCGTTTTCAATCCGATCTCGAATAGATCTCCCCATCTGGCTAAACAGAGATTCTATTTCTGAAGAACGGCGAAGGTGTGCTCCTGTGCAGTTTGACGATGCTGATGACACCGAACGTCCGCAACAAATATCGAAGTCCAAGCGAGCACGGCTAACTGAACGAAGCTCAGTCTCATCTACTGAATCGTCATCTTTGGAAGAAAGTGAAGAGGAACGAAAAGACAAGGTGATTGATGAAACCATTCCCTTTGAACCCTTGTACAGCTGTAAAAATGAACATGATATTCTCCTGCAGGTGGCGAAATTGTCTTTTGAGCGCGCTTGCAAAT